TGGACATCATGGTCCACAGCGCCAATAATGTACTACAATTTGGCAATAAACTCCATGCATATCAAATGAACTGCTTCCAGCAACGCTGCCTGTGCACTGAGCAACAAGGCGTCATTTTCTGAAAATTGCTGGATTAAAGAAGCTTTCTGAAAAACCATGCGAGCTGCGCCCATCGTATTTTCATGAATCGATTCTGGAAACAGGTATGTCAAAAATATTGCTCTAATGGGAACTGAACACTGTTCGTACATGAAGAGATGAACAACTTGAAAGCAGGTAATACTTTCCAGCAGCAAACGCGCCTGCAACATTCTATCGAAGGAATTACTAATTAAATCATTCGGAGGAATCACTTCTAGAATGTTAGACATTACGGCTAGATGAAGATTATAAACGAGAACAACGCAGTTACTGAATATGTGTCCTTGGTTGCTTCATGGTCTATTTTTGTTATGAAAGTACTGCGGCAACGCAATTCAACTAGTTAGTGAGTTGGAAAGGTCGCAATGGTAAAGGGACATACTATTATGAAAAAGTGAGTTTCTCAGAAAAATTGTCTCGCATACAAATGGAATAAGAGCATAGATGTTATCTGCTACTTAGCGATTAAACTACATCGACAAGAAAGTCATTTATTTGTTGGTTTACAGGCTAATGAGGATGGTGGTATCCATAAGCCCATTGAAGTTTATAAGCAGTGTTTTTCAAATGCATTTTCTCCCAGCACCACCAGCACTACCGTAAGTATGTCATGGTTACAACTGCTACATTATGCAACTTCTGGACTGCATGGAATCCCATATGACTATTGCCACAATGGCTACAGAAAAGACATTCCATTTCACTATGTCATGCAGTCATTTATTTTAGTCGTTGTCGTGTTTTAGTCCTTTTGTACGTGCCAAAGTATTAGAGAACATTTGATTATTTTTCACTCTGGCTTTGAGCAAGAAATCTTTCACTGATGCCAATCACCGCAAAAGAACTTCCTTCAGTGACGCATAGCTGCTTTCAACCCTATTGCATAGGACGTAGCCATGCACTAAAACTCAGACAAGCTCCAGTCTGGCGCCTACTCATGTGCAGAAGAATCCGGATATTCGTGGTTCTTGAGTCAAAATAGATTGTTCCTTAAAGCAGTGTCTTGTAGTTCAATTCACGTCCTTCTGCGCTGAGACTCGAAATTATGCTTCCATTAACTGAAAAGAATCCATTCTGCGCTCTACATTAATGGCATGAGTCACTAATTAAATCTTGACTTGCCCGTAGGGTATTCCTTTTAATATTTGGATGCATTGCCTCGAGCCACAAGTAAGAGTCAATCATCCGCAAATAAACAAATCATATTTCCTTACATCGAATCGTTTCAAATGAAGCCTGGTTACGTTGAAGACATAATGAATCATTTTCGATCCAGCAACAGAAAGCATTTTGAAGAATATTACGAAAGCAACAGAATAATTAAAGAATGCATTAAGAATGCATTAAACGATTTCATATTATGTTTATTTTTTAGCCAGTTTGGTGATCGGAGATCATTTCCTAGTAGGAAGTATTTCGATTCCTGGGTTGGAGGCGGTTAAAGTTACTTTGGCTACAGGCGTTACTGACAGCATTGCCATATCAGCTATTTTGCATTCTGGAAATAAAGAACCCCGCACTTTCGCAGAACTAGACATTGATCAGCCAAGCAGCCGCTGACCTTAACTTGAACAGGGAAAATAACGGTACAATAGATGGCTTGTATTGTTCAACGGTCTGTCGGTTAGCCTGTCACCTCAGTGATTAAAGTTTTTATTGTTTTCTTGCAATGAATATCACTAAAATCATCCAACGAGTTCATATGGCGTTATGTGGCCGCCCCCTTATCCGTAGAGCCCTAGGGGCAACTTCAGCAATGTATAGTTCCGTACTGTTATAGCATGTGCAATGAACCGATATGTGGCATCGTTTTTCTACTTTTAACACTTTATATACTTTGTACTGTGAGAGAACTGGACCGACCATCAGGAAGTAATGGTCAGTACAGTTCACTGTTAATTAACGTAACTCACTGGGGTCAAACCGAAACTAAGTTTGAAGATGACTGTCTGCGTTCAAGCCAAATTTCGTCTCTCTGCTCTTCTATGGTCATAAGCAATGGGCAATGACATAAAAGCGCGAATATGAGTACATGTCCTAATAAGCCACCCGAGAAAAACCGCAGGTCTTAAGCGCCTTATCAGATTTCGTAGATTAGCAATCCAAGAAACCACGGGAATCAAGCCTTTCATTGAGAAGCCGTAATTACAATGATTTGGGCATATCTGTGAAAACCGCCAATGGATGACAGAAGTTCGACCGATGAACAGAAAACCGAAATAAAATGCAGCGAGTAGTCATTAAACTACGTTCCAGAATGAGGATTCCCATTGCCAACATGCAATTATCGCTGCAAGCTCGTGAACGCTAGTGATACTGTCTGACAGAGCTCCCCCATCTCTCAAGGGGGCAAACGACATTCGAAACTGACAGATTAATAATATAATCTATTTTAGTTTTCGATACCGTATCAAAAACTAGCAGTACGCTAGTAAACCCATAAGATCGGGTTTTATTTTTTCTGCAAAAATATAATTGTACAATACAGAAAAAATTAAAATTCAATGCATATTAAACAATTGCCATGAGGTTCAGCGTTTTTCATCAAGAATGTGAAAATGCTGATCAAAACATAATCAAAAAATCGTAACAAAGTCTCTAAGTATTTCTTCCACTGACATCAACAAGGAAAGAAGATTCGACTCTTGTAATAAAGTAGTTCGAGACGGCTTTGTCTGATGTCATCCAATGCCCTGAAATAACAATCAAATAAACACTATCCGTTGTATATGTAAAAAGCACCTGTGGGACGGAGAATGCTTGTTTTTGTATCGATGAGGATACCATCTTCTAAAAGCACAGAATTTAAAACAGAAAAATGAAGTAGACAAATGCATACTGCATTGAATTTTAACGAAGAGCTTGAAATAAACGATAATTTCTATGATCTAGTCATAAGTCGGTGGAATAAACATATCCTTCGCGGTGATACAAGAACTGCAGGACGGTAGTGCAATGGTTCGCTATGAAGTGGCTCCGCTATGGAACCTTTGCACGAATGTTACTTCAGCTTTATGAATATTAAACAGCAGAACCCACGCCACTCCTCCCTGTCGACGCGGACAAGAAATTTCACTATTTCTCACGCAGAAGATGGCATGGTTTCATCAAGCTACTTACGCCAAATAAGTCAATAGGATCCGGCACTACTAGCACCAACTATATACTGATCAAAGTACAGTAATTGGCAGAGAAGACGCTGAACTGTTGGTAGAAAGATTACGGCTGTCACTCGCTAATCATCGTTCTGAGGAAAATAAATCAGTGCCATCATAACGTAAAGAAAAAGCAGCAGACAATACTGCATAACGGCCATCTGGATTTAGGCCATGGCTGTGAAAAAAGTAATGCAAATGCACTTCTGGCTGATGATACCGAAAGGAAGACACGCTCTGTATCATTAGTTCTGTGTAGAACGGTAGTGCAGGTAGCGTTCATCACAGAAGTGTAAGAAAAACCGATAATTTAGCGGTTTAAAACCTTCCATTTTCTTTGCATGCAGCCAGACGTTAGCCGCCATTGGGCACTAAATAAACCAATCGAACCCACCAGCTGTTCACGGAATGACGTCCTTAACAAGAGATGGCAGTTTCTTAAAATGCTTATTTGCTTTAATAATTTGTTATTGATGGAATAAAAAGAAAGCGATACCTTCTCTTGAAGGTTCTCTGTCAAATAAAACTAGAAACTGACTTCACTCAAACGAGTGTTATAGCAAATAAATGAATCTCTGAAAACGGATACTCAGGCGTCTTAAAAAATTTCAAAAACTGACAAAAGAGTTCTAATATTTCACTTGCATATCATGCCAGTAATCACACTGAAACCTCGCAACAATTACTTTTGATTTACTTGCAACAGTTATTAATAATGCATCAAACTCGCCTACCGACATAACTCCTTCAAGGAACTGACATCAATAATACGGTAATGGAGATGATTCACCACTCTCGGCATAAACTTGGTCAAGAAGACTTTATCTAGATGTACGGAGTTGCCTGCCAAAGGACACTTTTCGGCTGGAGTGTGCTTCTGAATGAACTTAATGAGAATGTCTTCCGCTTTTTCGACCGTCAAAGTACTTTCTTGAACAGCTTTGATCAAACCTGACTGAAATGG